AATACTGCTACAGTCAGAAAATACGACTACACAATAGATACTACTACGGTCAGTCGTTACTGCTGCAGTCAGTAAATACTACTACACAGTCAGTAGCTACTACTGGCTCAGTAGATACTACTGTACAGTCAGTAGATACAACTACAGAGTCAATAGGTCAATAGATACTACTTCCTCTGTTGTATGTAGGGTGTGTAGGTATATATACCTACGCGGGGATAATGATAATTTTTTGAGCCGGGGGGGTCGACAATTTTCAGAAACCTTTTACATCAACTATTTACCCCACACTTTCTATAACTTTTTGTACTTGTACAAGCCTCTTATAATTTTGTTGGTGGAGGAATGGACAAATGGCCCACCGGGCTTTCACAATAGCTTAGTGTCTGTGTATGTATATGTAAGGTTTTTAAGAAAAGTTTTTAAATATATTTTTCACCCAGGCAACACCGGGTACTTACCGCTAGTAGTTTATAAAATAGTTTACCCATTTGAGTTAAAACGTACACAATGGTTGGAGTCTTCTCTTACTATTTATATGTACAGAGTATAATTTAGGAGACATTACACCTGGATACTATTGGAATATGTATCGTTCCACATGCAAGCAGGTTGGCATATCCAGAGCTAGTGTATGTGCCCATTACAATGTATATATTTTTATAGCTTTTAGAAGAAAGCAAATATTAAAGAGAGAAAAACAACCCGTACTTAACAGGGGAGATCAAATATGAATTTAATGCGCAAAGGTGCCCTGTGTCAGGAATCGAAACCAATTGCTTTTGCTGTAAAACACAATTATTACCACTGTGCCAGCCTTCTGGCCTAGCAGCCGAAGGGTATAAATTGTGTACATTGTTTTAATCTTTAGTTTGGCCAATGGTTAAGGTTGACCAATCCTTTGGCCATTGCTTTAGAACTGTTTGTGTTCCTTCCCTCACATTTGCAATGATCACAGTTAGCTCTGTACAGTGTGAAATAAGTTTTACATACATACATACATAGCGGAAGTTTTAGGGGTTAATGCCCTGCACAACGAACCCGGCGACCCAATTCGATTCCTGCTCACGGCCAAAACCATTGACGATTATCTGAACCGGTCCTGGGCCTCCACTAGGTCGACTCAGCCTCAAATTAGTGCCTGGTGCGGTGTGTAAACATTGTCACTAGGGAGACGAGGGCGACTGGGCGTTGTTGGTCACCCATCCCCTAGTGTGCCATGCCGGCCTTCATAGGTGCTCGTTAATAGCACTTGTCCCGAAAAAGTATGTTAAGGCTATGTGAATTTGTAATGTCTTATGTGAATTTGTAATGTGGCGAGTAGTGGTACAGCAGTTATCATCCTGTGCAATGATTGCTGTAAACACTTAATTTTCTGCTCACAGCCACATATAGTTAGGGAATTTTTTTTTTTATCCCCTGCTGATTTTGTAAATTTGCCCACTGACAAAGAAATGATCAGTCTATATTTTTAATGGTAGGTTTATTTGAACAGTGAGAGACAGAATAACGACAAAAACATCCAGAAAAATGCATGCCAAAAATGTTATAAATTGATTTGCATTTTAATGAGGGAAATAAGTATTTGACCCCTCTGCAAAACATGACTTAGCACTTGGTGGCAAAACCCTTGTTGGCAATCACAGAGGTCAGACATTTCTTGTAGTTGGCCACCAGGATTGCACACATCTCAGGAGGGATTTTGTCCCACTCCTCTTTACAGATCTTCTCCAAGTCATTAAGGTTTCGAGGCTGACGTTTGGCAACTCGAACCTTCAGCTCCCTCCACAGATTTTCTATGGGATTAAGGTCTGGAGACTGGCTAGGCCACTCCAGGACCTTCATGTGCTTCTTCTTGAGCCACTCCTTTGTTGCCTTGGCCATGTGTTTCGGGTCATTGTCATGCTGGAATACCCATCCACGACCCATTTTCAATGCCCTGGCTGAGGGAAGGAGGTTCTCACCCAAGATTTGACGGTACATGGCCCGTCCGTCGTCCCTTTAATGTGGTGAAGTTGTCCTGTCCCCTTAGCAGAAAAACACCCCCAAAGCATAATGTTTCCACCTCCATGTTTGACGATGGGGATGGTGTTCTTGGGGTCATAGGCAGTATTCCTCCTCCTCCAAACACGGCGAGTTGAATTGATGCCAGAGAGCTTCATTTTGGTCTCATCTGACCACAACACTTTCACCCAGTTGTCCTCTGAATCATTCAGATGTTCATTGGCAAACTTCAGACGGGCATGTATATGTGCTTTCTTGAGCAGGGGGACCTTGCGGGCGCTGCAGGATTTCAGTCCTTGACGGCGTAGTGTGTTACCAATTGTTTTCTTGGTGACTATCGTCCCAGTTGCCTTGAGATCATTGACAAAATCCTCCCGTGTAGTTCTGGGCTGATTCCTCACCATTCTCATGATCATTGCAACTCCACGAGGTGAGATCTTGCATGGAGCCCCAGACCGAGGGAGATTGACAGTTCTTTTTGTTTCTTCCATTTGCGAATAATCGCACCAACTGTTGTCACCTTCTCACCAAGCTGCTTGGCAATGGTCTTGTAGCCCATTCCAGCCTTGTGTAGGTCTACAATCTTGTCCCTGACATCCTTGGAGAGCTCTTTGGTCTTGGCCATGGTGGAGAGTTTGGAATCTGATTGATTGATTGCTTCTGTGGACAGGTGCCTTTTATACAGGTAACAAGCTGAGATTAGGAGCACTCCCTTTAAGAGTGTGCTCCTAATTTCAGCTCGTTACCTGTATAAAAGACACCTGGGAGCCAGAAATATTTCTGATTGAGAGCGGGTCAAATCCTTATTTCCCTCAATAAAATGCAAATCAATTTATAACATTTTTGGCATGCGTTTTTCTGGATTTTGTTGTTATTTTGTCTCTCATTGTTCAAATAAACCTACCATTAAAATTATAAACTGATCATTTCTTTGTCAGTGGGAAAACGTATAAAATCAGCAGGGGATCAAATACTTTTTTCCTTCACTGTATGTGACAAATATTTGAAACACCCCAAGACTTTCACTAGGTCGACTCGGCCTAAAATGGGTACCAGGTTTAGTATGTAAAATGAAATCTTGGGATACAAAGTGGCCGGGCTTGGTGCTGGCCCACAACCCCCTCATCTTGTGCTCAGCTTTGATGGATGCTTGCTAACAGCACTTGCTATAACAGTGTGTTGAAGGCTATATGGACAATCTTTGTTTCTGTGTACAGCAAACCCTTGCCCGTCGCGGGGGGTTATGTTCTTGAAAATAGCCGCAATCAGCAAGTCCATTGTGGGGAAATCTCGGGTTTGATTCACGGTTCGTAATACAACATCCCCCTCCGTTTATTTTATGTTATACTACATCAACCCAAACATTAAACAGGATGTATTTTTGATATAAAGTATATTGTTTGGGTCTTTCGGTAAAGCCACGTAGATAGAAAAATGATAAGATTAATAAAAATAATAACAATATCACGACGTTTCAATTGCAACACAAGCAATCGTCATCAGGTGAAAAATATAGCTGGAGAGCTGCTGAGACAGGAAAGAATATACGTCGGGAGCGCTGCTAAGGGTGTAGCCCAAGGGTTAGTGGGTAGGGCAAGAGATGAAATTTGCATGTAAATGTAAGATCGGATAAATCTTGACAAACCAAGCTGTGGGGGTGGCCATTCTATTGTGAGAGATTAGCATGTCAATGTAAGAAATTTGCTTGTAAATGTAAACTCGGAGAGAGCTCGGAACGAGCCATTGCCACATGGAGGTGGAAACGGATGGCAAGCCGCCAATTACTAACACAGCTAACGGTGGCTGTGTAACTCAGAGTCGAAAATAACTGCTCACATAGGTAGGTAGGAAGGGAACAACACCACCAGTTATGACCTTAGCTGGTTAATAACGTCCTTCCAATGATTGCTCAGTTTGTACCCATCTTCTGGTTGAAATTGTGTCTGTGTTTATATATCTGGATGGCTTCATGAACGAATCTTTGCTGATAGCCCCAATGGGTTTACAGAGTACCTTCGTCTTGGCAAAATCAATTTCGTGTGTGCCCACAGCATTAAAATAATGATCATCCACGGCTGAGGTATTGGTCCTACCATGTTTCAGATCTGCCTTATGTTCACAAACCCTGTCCGAGCAAATTTCATCTCTAGCCCCGCCCACTGACCCTTGGGCTACACCCATCTCAAATCTTTAACACTCCCTGCCTTAGCAGCGCTCCCGACGTATTTCTTTCCTGCCTCAGCAGCTCCACCGCTAGATTTTTTACCTGAGGACGATTGCTTGTGTTGCGATCGAAACGTCGTGATAGTGTTATTATTTTTATTAATTTGATTATTTTTCTATCTACGTGGCTTTACCGAAAGACCCAAAGAATATGAATTCCTGCAGTCACGAAAGCTTTAAGTCAAAATGTAAAATATGATTAATATTCGGTAAAGTCACGTAGGTATAAAATAAAATAAATCACGACATTTTGGGCGCAACACAAGCGTCCATCATCAGGTGGGAAAGTCACGAAAGCTTCAAATCAAGAATGATTCATTTTTTCTAGTGCTAAATATAACTTGTGGCTTGGTCTGCATGACTGTACACGTTTTCATCCGCGGCAGCAGCATTGCGAGAAGTACAGTTACAATTTATGTACAGTATTGTACACTAACAGAAAGAAAAATTGCGGGCGGCTGAACGTCATTGTTGGAGAATGGGAACGCCATGTGATCTGGGACTCGCACTAGACTACTTGGGAGACAATATGGAGGACTACAGTTACGATTTGTACACGAATCTTACGGTCAACAGCGAATGGTCAAATCACAGGGGGCGCAATCGGCAAACTGTACCTCAATCAATTTGGGGCAAAACTGCGATAGCTAATCTCACAGAATGGAATGGTTTGCTGCATATACATTGTGATCGATAGTGAGTGATTGAGATTGTGCAATGTACTGTGTGAGTGTGTAATGTGTAGTCATATCGTATGTGATATGTATCTGCAGAATCACATGGAGCAGAGAGACTCGGCACAGACTGGAATTAAAAAGGACCAAAGCGTCCTTTGTTTATACAGCATGGACCAGATGGGAAACATGAAGAAACACCTGCAATCACACACTGGCAAAAAGCCTTTCAAGTGCTCTGTGTGTGGGAAGGCATTTACAAGGTCATCACATCGTGATAGGCATCAGACATCACATACTGGCGAGAAGCTGTTCAAGTGCACAGTGTGTGGAAAAGCCTTTTCACGGGCATCAAACCTTGACAGACATCAGACATTACACACGGGAGAGAAGCTCTTCAAGTGCAGTGTGTGTGTTAAGGAATTTTCACGGGCATCGAATCTTAACAAACATGAGAAAAAACACTTTGGGGAAAACCCATTCAAGTGTATTGTGTGTGGGAAGGGATTTTCACATTCAGGATCTCTTCTGATTCACCAGAGTAAACACACAGGTGAGAAGCCGTTCAAGTGCACAATGTGTGGGAATACATTTACACAGTCGTCACATCTTAACAGACATCAGAAAACGCACACAGGCGAAATGCCCTTCAAGTGCACCGTATGTGGGATGGCATTCTCACGGTCATCGAATCTTGACAGACATCAGAAAACACACTTTGGTGAAAAGCCCTTCAATTGCACTGTGTGTGAGAAGGCATTTTCACGGTCTTCACATCTTGACAGGCATCAGAAAACACATACTCGTGAACATCTCTTTACGTGCACTGTGTGTGGGAAGCCGTTTACAGATTCAGGATCTCTTTATATTCACCAGAAAACTCACACAGTTGAGAAGCTCTTCAAGTGTAATGTGTGTGGCAAGGCATTTACACAGTCGGCATATCTTCCTATTCACCAGAGAACACACACAGGTGAAAAGCCCTTCAGGTGCACAGTGTGTGCGAAGGCATTTTCACGATCATCACATCTTAACAGACATCAGAAAATACACTCAGGTGAAATGCCTTTGACGTACCCTGTGTGGGGAGAGGCATTTCCACGGTCAGAAGTCCGAAACAGTCATGAGAAGATCCACTTGGAGTTGAATGTGAAATCTACACGTCAAAGTGCTTCAATTAACCCATCTCTCATAAAACAGGAACCAGAAGAAAATTCCCCCTTTGAAACGTGGCCAGGAGTTAAACTGGAATGTGACAAAGAGAAGTTTCAATGTGAAGAAGTGACGTTGAAATGTGAAGACGAAGATTTGAATCCAGGACCTAACTTACAGGTCGATGGAGGCATTTTGAAGCAGGAGGAAAATTTGGACTGTGAGGGAAAGCGAGATGACCCCAAAAAGTATTTGGATGTGGAAATTTGGATGGACTTTTTGGACAATGCAAAGTAGGAGTCCAGAAAGATTTGTATACAGGAAAGTGAAACAAAGAATCTCCACAGAGATCACCTTATTTATAGGCTTGTTACAAGAATGCATGCAGCTGTAGGTGTCAATCAGACAGATGAGCTTTTAGTAATTCTGATGGGGTTTTTTTTATTTCAGTGTAGTGTTAATGAAATATTGTCAACTTTTTCATATTCTAGAAATATAATTTGATCATCTTAATTTGAAGCTTTCGGGACTGCAGGAATCCATACTATTTTGTTCTTTTGGTAAAGTCACGTAGGTATAAATTTTATTTTACATTATAGACCTCACTTAAAGCTCAAGATGCATTCTTGGAGAAGTGAGCACAAATCGAATCAGTGTTAAAAGGGGTCATTATACCATTGTATACAACATGGGGATACGTTCCCGACAGCATTATTTTCTGAGTAATATACGAGGGCTTCATTGGGGTATCTGTAATAATGCTAATAATAATGCTAATAATAATGCAGATGGAAAACATTTCATAAATAAAATAAAGTATTATAATAACAGTATTATGTACTATACACACAAGTGCATTCTACTGTACACCTACAAGGCATCAGTGGGAGATTATTGAGGAGCTGCTGCACTCCCAATCCAGTTAATTCTCAGAGAAGAGCTCCAGGACCTTTGTGATCTTAGTGATGCTTTTCGTCAAAATTGTTTTGGTGAGGTTTCTTTTAGGTAGGGCCTGAGATTGTCCTGTTCTCATGATTTATTTAATCGATGGTTTAAAAATGTAATCGTGACTACGAATCATGATAATCGAATGGTGGTTGGCTCAGCATACGTTATTCTCATTGGCTGAGTGAATGATGGGGGCGGATAGCAGTCAGCCCTGCTGCATGTTCTCACTCGCAAGCCCTTTATAGATATTTCGATTGTATTATTCGTTGTAAAATATTTCTCCAGGGCAAAGAGCACCATAACAAATCAGCGTTCGACGGGGTCGCACTAAGCGACCTCCCATGTACTTTTAAAGTGGCTTCTGTGTGGCTTGGTCTGCATGCTCCCCAATCTCTTTTTAAAATAGCTGTTTTAACTGTATACACTATCACACATCACAACCACTAAACTCACTTCACATACACACATACACATTGCGCACACAGTACACGGTCACCATATAGTCAATCATTTGCGCACAGTAAAACCATCCACAACATACACATCACACCCACATACAATACAGCAAACCCTTACCCATCGCGAAGGTTACATTCTTGAAAATAGCTGCAATCGCCAAATACCCGATCCACAAACTCAAAGGCATTACTAGTCCTTGGGCCAGATCGGTACCACCCAAGGTGGCAACACTTCAATTGTGCCATTTTATTTGTTACACCAACAGAAGTAAAATAATATGTGATAACCTTTCCAAATGAGCAGCGGTTTAATTTTTCTCGCAGCAAACCTGTTTTTGCACCTATCGCAATCACGCCTATTTGCCTGGACTTTACAAATAAAACATTCCAACACCTCTGCGGTTAATTAGGACATATAATTTTCAAAATGAATGTTTGGCCCCAAGGCACGTATTTCATACATTCTTGCATTTATTCACGCTTGTTCTTCAATTTAAGTGACTTAGTTAAGTCTGGAATAGATTGGCGCTATCTGTTTCTTTCTGTTTATAGCAGCTTGTTTGCTCATGATCCTTTACTGGCAGGTGAGGCAATTTCTGTTCAGTAAAGATATCTACAGTGCTAACTTTACCCTCTGTATCGTTCAGGGACTACAGGCAAAAATAATTATTTTTGTTCATATTCTTTGGGTCTTCCGGTAAAGTCACTTAGGTTAAAATAAAATAACAAAAAATTTGCCCTCTTTTTTTCCTGATGACGATTGCTTGTGTTGCGATCGAAACATAGATTTTTGTTATTTTCTTTGAACCTAAGTGACTTTACCGAAAGACCCAAAGAATATGAATTCCTGTAGTCACGCAAGCTTTAAGTCAAGATATTTGTTCAGTTTGTCAATTTTTATATATTTTTTTTATATTTTGCTTCTATAAATTGTAAACTTTCATAAATTATTACCATGAACTTTATTGTTATTACCAATAACATTATTATAACTTTGTTATTGGTAGTAATAATTGATTGAAATCATAAAAAACTCACTCTATTTTACAAATAGTTCGTTTTTACGATTTTATACAAATTTCGCCAAGTAAACAAAGCCTTAAATTCGCGTTTTTCAGCATATTTAATCGCAATTTGTCTCAGCATTTTAAGAAATAACCTAGTTGAAATGCATTTGTTTTCATTGAAAAGCTTATTCTCTGAAGATGTCTAGCTTATTCATATATGGCTATTTACTTTGCTGTCATGGCAATAAGAGGGGGAACACAAGTATAACTCTCAAATTTCGTTGCTACTAGCATCACAATGCCAGAAATGGCATTGCGATTTTCTCAAAATGACATTTTACATGCCGAGTTTGACAACTCATGTTTCATAATAGGTAAAGCCACATAAGTCTACATACTACTTCCTACTTGGAATAGCTAGAAATGTTCAGAGGGATTTTTTATATCTTTATTGATAGCCGCAAGTACAACAGGGCAGTGTGACGACACAAACGCCTGTATGAGGCTCTCATGCGACTGACATGGGATGGTTTCCTGTCCTGGTTGGAAGCAACTCATATGAACGACATAGTTCACCTGGATGAGACACTGAGGACCATTGACAAACTTGATTCGGTGCTTTCGTGACTGCAGGAATTACTATTTGTTTTTTTTTCGGTAAAGTCACGTAGAAATAATAAAAAATAAAATTATATAATAGCATACGACGTTTCGATTGGAACACAAGCAATCATCAGGTACAGAAGAGCTAAATTTAAGAGAGAGAGGAAACACAACCGCAGATATATATACAGACCTTAAGTAGAGGGAATTTACACAGACACACCAGGGGACACAGAGAGACGGGGCACACTAAATCAAACAGGGTTTAGCAAAATTTGGAAACTATATCAAGCAACGCAGACGGTCGGTTAAAACACAATTAACGCATGGTCTAGTAGATTACGCTATTTCAAAGATTGCTAAATTGTAAGTTAAGTGTGAATTTTAAGAGAGTGATGGAACACAGACCGTAAAGAGACATGGGGAGAGACAGGCACACAGTGAAGAAGTAAAGCCACATCTCTGTGACGACGCCTTAAATAAACAGAGATGGTGGGGCTGGGGCTCAGAGACAATGGGACAAAAAATTAGCATGAAGAGAGCACATATCAATGGACGGTGCGGGTAGCGGGCAAGAGTTGTCACACAGGGGGCTGCGGAGGCTGTCGCAGCGCCCACTCGGAGACACAAGGCACAAACACAGGCATGGACAACACAGCGATACAAACACCAAGTCAAGACACAAAGGCAGATACACCAGCAGAGAAACACAAAGACAGACTTCATACCTTCCCGTAAAGGTGGTTCGAACTTGATTAGATGCTTTCGTGACTGCAGGAATCACTCTTTGTTTTTTTTCGGTAAAGTCACGTAGACATAATAAAAAATAAAATTATATAATAGCATACGACGTTTCGATTGCAACACAAGCAATCATCATCAGGTACAGTCACGTGATTCTGGACTTGTTTACCTTTGTTAACACCATCTAAGTACACACAGCTTGATAACAACAATGTAACCTTCACATATACCCATTACTAACAATATATAGAATTATATGTATCATTGACTAAGTATATGTTAATGTCAATGTTGATTATATTCAAGTAGTTCCTTACCTCACTATGGTATTCCTTACTATCCTGTATTTTCATTGTGTATTTAAACTAATAAAGACCAGTTTGTGACCTAACTGGCATTGGTCTAGGTAGTTTTTCAGTAATAATGCCCATTTCATCATTCCAGACGCCTAAAGTCATGGTAACTACAACTGAGCTGCCACTTCACAAAGGTTATATCAGAATATGTCCCACACACATGGAGGATTACAAAAATCATTGCCAGACTGCCACCTCAGGTGGTACCAAGAAGTGATTTTTTTTGGTCTGGGCCCATGGAGCATATGGGGAAGACTAGGATTTTGTTCATGATTTATAATATTGTAGAGGAGTAGAATGGGGAAGTGGCGTCACTTGTGCTGTCCAGGGCGATGACGTGACGTCATGCGCTCGGGGCAGCAGAGTGACGTCACGGCTCCTCAAGGATAAAAGGGGGACCCCGTGACGTAAGCGGGGTCGTAGCTGGGGAGTAGGATCGGAGAAGATGGGGAACGGGGAGCGAGGGGCAAGAGGGTAGGGATAGGGGGAGAGCACAGTGCCAGGCGAGATGTGGCTGCGCTCCTCGGTCGGCTGTGTTGGTTGATCCCACGGCCGGCGCAGAGGAGACAGCACAGGGCAGCCGGCTGTGTCGGGACCTAGCCCGGGACCCCTAACCCCTGGGAAGTTGTTCACCCCTGTGTATTGTTAAATATTTGTAATAAACCGTTGGCAGAAGCCCTTAACTTACCTTAGCCTCCGAGTGAGTCGTTGGGAACTCCTTTACAAATGGTGTCAGGAGTGTTTACGCTGCCGTCGCTATGCCTCAATCGGGCGGGCGGCGTAAGAATCCACCAGCGGGACGCCGGGAGAGTGCTGACGACGTCGGGGAAGCTCCGGCTGCGACCCGGGGGCAGTTCGACGCCCCGGAGACGGGCCCCGTGGAGATGGACTCGGCGGGGCAGGTGGTGTCGGCGGCTGGGGGTCCCAGCGCACCACCGCCGGTGGCGGGGGGCGATGCCGAGGGGCGGTCGCAACTGCTCCTGCGGGCGATGGAGCAGCTCACCGCCGCCCTTACAGAGGTGGGAGCGCGGACGCACCCACCCGGCCCACACTCCACGTGGCACCGGCGGATTCCCGCCATTTCGCCGCCCACCAATTTGGAAGTCGGCACCATTTTTCATGCGCCGCCGGAGGTGGCGGACATGTTGGTGGGGCGCCGCAAGCGGACGCAATTTCTGCTGCGACACCGGAAGCGGCGGCCATTGTTGTGGCCGTGGCTGCCACGGATGCTGCCGCGGATGCCACCGCGGATGTCGCCGCCGCACCTCGCCGTTCCGGTGAACGCTGCTGCGGATGCCGCCGTGGCTCCGCACCTCGCCGTGGCTGCGAGCTTGGCCGCGACTGCTGCTGCGGATGCTGCCGCGGATGCCGCCGCGGCTCCGCACCTCGCCGTGGTTGCGAGCTCGGCCACGGAGGCTGCCGCGGATGCTGCCGCGGATGCCGCCGCGGATCCGCACCTCGCCGTACCAGCGAGCCGGGCCGCGGATGCCGCCGCAATTGCGGGGTGGCTCGCGGGCACTGCTGCGGCTCCTCACCTCGCCGCGTCTGCAGCGTGGCCTGCGGGGACCGCAACGCCGCCGCACCTCGCCACGTCAGCGGGATGGGCCGCGGGCGCCATGGACGCCGCGGCGCCCCCCCACGCTGACGCTATTGCAAGGTGGGTCGCGGGCGCTGCGGATCCATATGCCGCCGCATTTGCGAGGTCGCTCGCGGGCGCTGCTGCGCCTCCTCACCTCGCTGCGTCTGCGGCGTGGCCCACGGGGGCCGCAACGCCGCCGGCCCTCATCGCGTCTGTGGGAGGGGCCGCGGGGGCTGCTGCGGCTCAGCACGTGGGCGGGGCCTAGGTGCTTGCCATTGGCGATGCCACGGGCCCGCACCTCGTCGCGCCTTCAAGGTCGGTCACGGGCGCTAATGCGCCTCCACATCCCGCCGCGCCTGCGGGGTGGGATGCGGCCACTGCTGCACCTCCGCACCTCACCGCGTCTACGGCGTGGCCCGGGGGGGCCGCAACACTGCCGCACCACGCCGCGTCTCCGGCGTGGCCCATGGGGGCCGCAACGCTGCCGCACCACGCCGCGTCGCGGGAGGTTGCCGCGGCTGCGGAGGCCACCGCGGTCACGCACGCTGGCACCGCGGCTCCGTACGGCGCCGTGTACAGGTGGGTCGCGGGCGCTGTGGTGCCTCCACACCTCGCGGCGTCTACGGCGTGGCCCGGGGAGGCCGCAATGCCGCCGCCCCTCGCCGCATCGCGGGAGGTTGCCGGGGCTGCGGCTGCAGCTCCATCCGTCGCCGCACCTGCGGGGTGGCCCGCAGGGGCCACCGCGAGGCCGTATTATACCGCCGCGTCTCCGGCGTGGCCTACGGGGGCCGCAGCGCCGCCGCACCTTGCCGCATCTCCGGCGTGGCCTACGGGGGCCGCAGCGCCACCACACTTTGCCGTGTCTTTGGCATGGCCTACGGGGGCCGCAGCGCCACCACACCTTGCCACGTCTTCAGCGTGGCCTACAGAGGCCGCAGCGCCACCGCACCTTGTCGCGTCCTCGGCGTGGCCTACGGGGGCCGCAGCGCCACCGCACCTTGCCACGTCTTCAGCGTGGCCTACGGGGGCCGCAGCGCCACCACACTTTGCCGTGTCTTTGGCATGGACTACGGGGGCCGCAGCGCCACCGCACCTTGCCGCATCCT